CTAGGGTTGTCAAATATTTTAAGTGATGATCTGTGCTTCCCCACAGTATATGTTAGCGTTTTCAAAAAGAAGGCACGAAAGTCAGAAAGTTCATATGAGCGTACTTTCTCACAAGGCTCAGCGTGTGTGGAGAAGTGACATTTGGATCAATGCGAATTTTCCAGCTAGGGATGTAGGCACACCGAAAAAAATATGTACCTCCCATAGTCAACTTTACGAGGGACGGCCAGTCAAGATGTAAATGACCGACGATAATCATTCATCCGAAGGTGGAGAAAAAAATATTAAAATTTTGTCGGTCGCACTCATCATATTTCGACGAGGTAAGTGACCTCGTTTATTATGTCGAGCCACGCGTTACATAGAAGCCAACGTTTGTCCGTACGACAAAGCCCCAACACCTCTGGTTCCTACGTTCCAAAACCGCTGCTCAATTTCTAAACACGGTTGACCTCTCACTTTTCTTAAAAAAAAAAACACACGCCCACACCTCAAGGTTTGAAAATGATAATGAACCGAAAACAGCGTTGTTGCGCTTATGTGTTTTTGCGACGGCTCATGTTTGCGTATTCTGATTGTGTACGTGTAAAGGTGCAGGCGTTTAGAGGGTTGATGTGCTCGAACACAGACGCTGCATTCCGGTGTGTGTGGTTATGAGACTCGTCCGATGCGTACCGTGGGAACACCAGACTCTGGGCGTTCGGGACGCACCCTGCGAAATCAAGCCAGCCCGAGCGGTGTCAAAGAAAGCTCCCCTTCGGCCGACGCTCCTTCTTCCCGGACAGGTAAGGCAACAAAGACACACAAAATATTATTAAATTATTACCCCGCCTGACTGTTTTAATCCTCGGAGCACTTTTGAAGGAATGTAGCTTTTATAGTTTGGCACTCATTAGAGAATTTAATAAAATCCAATTAGCGCACTTTTTTTGTAGTTTTGAAGTTAAAAAAAAAATTGGTGTGTTTAGAAAAACTCGCATATATTACACACTACATCCCAGGTATGCATAAACTTTACCTGATTTAATTTTGCGTTAAATCCCAGTAAATACTCCGGCAAGGTGGCAACAATTATTTAAATATTGTACATAAAAAGTGAGGAGGGCCAAGTTTGCAGCTTGGGATCAATTTCAAAATATTTAATATATTCAATTGTTGGAATCTATATGTCCAAACATTATAATTGTACTAAATAGAGTCTACCGAGGGCATTCTATACAATAAATAAAACGAAAAAGTTATGTAAAATTGCCTTTCTGGGAAAGTTGATGTTCAAATTTGTACTTTTGGAATATTCTTTCTTATTTAAATATGTCTTGGCCAATATAACTTAATATGTCTTGGCCAATATAACTTAATATAAAAATAATAAAGCGCAATATATACACAGGTTCTTTGATCTTAATTTGAACAGGATTATTAAATGGAGGACGTCGAATGTAAATTATTGTGGTTTGTACTGATGAGTAATATGGCTAATATAGAGGTCTCATTCTCAAGATAAGTCAAATAATGAATTAAATGTCTTCATTAAGTTTTAATTATTTCACATGATATTATGATTTATATTATAAACTTGCTGATAATCATCTAAAAGTAGTACATCAGTCAAGTTTAGAAGGATTTAAAGCACGTTGGAAGCTGGGGGGGGGGGGGGGGGAGTGCGCTAAGGTTACCAATTGTGTAACAGGCGGAACGCTGGCGTTCCAAGAAACGCGGACAATAATCTTTTCATCTGCGTTTTCAGACCGCTTGTGTTGGGTCTGATGTTGCACAAATCTAAACTTTACCGCATCCCTACGGTTACGACATGCTTTAAATATTTCTTAATATGATCGACGTAGTGGTTCTACATCATGACGTTCAGCAGAGTACTAATAAGAACCATGTTTATTTCCACAAACTAAAAGTTACTTAACCCAATTTATTTTATGATTGAACTTATGGTGACGATTATCTCTCTATGTTTGGCTTCCTGTTCGTATAACTTTCCTGCACATATTAAATTCTTTTACCTTTCAAGAATTTTTTTAAATTAAATGCGTTCAAAATAAACAAACAGTTTTGTTTAATTTATATCATAACACTGAACATAACAAAAACATTATATTTGCAACCAGGTAAAGCATTTTGAAACGAGCCGGGCTCAGAATATTTAAACTAAACAAATGAGACACGCCTGTTTGCCAATTGAATATTTTAATCTAGATTTTTAAAAAAATCTTTGCTTGGGAGAAGAGCGTGTTGGTTTAAGTCATGGATGAAGAAAGAATAAACAATTAAAACAAGGACAACATCACCACATCTCCCAACTAGCAACAGACGAGTAAACGTTCAACAGCGAGCAGCCGACTATACCCAAGAGGAAAAGGGGGGAGAAGGGGAGAGAAGGGGAGAGAAGGGAAAATAAAAACGCGAAGTGCATATTAGAGTGGGGGGATTATCTCGGATTTTATAAATTGAACCTCAGTTTTTGTCAGCAGGAGGGAAGGGTTTGACACGTTGTTTTTTGCAGCGGTCATGGCGAATGACTCTATAATCTCCGTGTCGAATCTGCTGTCATGTCCCCCAAGAATTTTTGTTTCATCAAGGAGGGGATGACAAAGCAAACACGAACAGGCATATATGGCTATGGGATGATAAGAATCTGGAGAGGACGTAAAAACTTCGTTGTGATGTTCGCGGAGTCCGTGATTAGAGCATCTGCCGGTCTAACCTATGCATTGGTGGCCGCAGCTCAAGGAAATGGAGTAAACTTTCTTCTCTTTGCATTGTATTAATTTATTTTCGTGTTTAACAGTGCAGCCAATCGGTATCTGGTTGTTGTTCACTTGTTGACAGAGTTGCTTAGACGCATACGGCACGAGAAGACAACATTCGTGTCAAACTTCGAGACAATGGATCAATCACAGACCCCGCGAATCACAGACCGGCAGATGCACCAATCACAGACTCCGCAAACATTACAACGAAGTTTCTAAGTCCTCTCCAGGTTCTAATCATCCCACAGTCATGCATGCCCGTTCGTGTTTGCTTTGTCATCCCCTCTTTGATGAAACGAAAATTCTGGGGGGGGGGGGGGGGAGACATGACAGTAGATTTGGCAGGGAGATCATAAAGTCATTTACCATGACCACTGTAAAAAACAACCTGTCAAACCCTTCCCACCTGCTGACGGAAACTGAGGTTGAATTTCTAAAATCAGGGATAATCCCACCACTCTGATTTGTTTTTATCTGTTTTTATCTTCCCTTCTCTCCCCTTCTCCCCCCTTTCCCTCCTGGATATAGTCGGCTGCTCGCTGTTGAAAGTTTACTCGTATGTTGCTAGTTCAAAGATCTGGTTAATTTGTGCCCGTTTTAATTATTTTTCCTTTCTTCATCCATGAAACTTTTTTTTTGCCTTCAGAAAGGTATTTGAGCCGTATATGCGGCATTTGAATACAAGCCAAATCTGAAAATTCGTATTGTTTTATCTACTTGTTTGTAAGTATTGCAGAAGGTTTTTCACTATCCGAGCAGGATGGTTTTTAGAGAGAAATATAAATATGGCGCCAACACAATTTTTAGTTTTGTCATAATGAAGAGTTTTCTCAGTATATAGTTTCTTGAAAAGCTCTGAGACATTACCCCCTTTTTTCTGTACGATTCAACAAGGAAATGCTCAAAATAAAATTGACTAATCACTGCACTGTTTATTTATCAATAAAACTGCAAAATATCAAAAGGTGACCAAGTTGCAGAAGCTAAGACATTGTTGCCTTCTCTTATAGTTCCCTCTAATTGAAGTAGGTTTGACGTATACACTTTACCTTCAATATTTACTCAATTAGGTGAATTCAAATCTTAAATCCATTGTCTTATTAGTCTTTGTAAATAAAATCAACTACTAACCTTGGCAAGAAAAGTCTTGAGAAATAGTTAGCCGTGAAAAGCAAATATAAAATATTAACTACCGCTTTTGTTGTCCATTGGCTGGGTAACATTTATTCCTTAAGCAGCAATTTAAAAGTACTAGCAATTGTTCTACAATACCCTTTTATAACAAATAAGCTTTCCGCACAAATAGATACTGACGAAATAACACAAAATGTCTTTACAAATTTCACACATGAGGCATATACACAAAAAGCCACCTCAGTATGTCTAGCGGATTGGACGGTTTTACTAAACGAATCAGCCTCACACGGAAAGTAATCACCAAAACCTATCCTGCTTTCTGTACAAGAAAAATCCAATTTTTACCTGTAATATATACTGCACATATCGGGATGGAATTATGTTGAACGATACTATAAACTTCGCACTTATGAAAAATATTTGTATATTGTACAATTCAAACAATGAGCCACGTTTACGCGAACTAGAAGTTTCAATCAACAATCACAAGGTAAAACAGTACGTTCTCCACGGAAAAATTGTAGCATTAAAAATGTATGAAATGCTTCGCCGCACTTCGTACATTTGCACCAATAAGCGGTTATAACTGTTTGTCTTTTTTTTTACAATCGAATGACCGTCACAAAACCAACTGAAACTTTCGTGGTGGAGTTAGCTTCCTCGTGGCATTTACATGGAAGCTGAACTTTGTTTTTTGTCAACTTCCGATCTGTACAAAGTGATACAAAGCGCCAACATCCTCTTTCTGCTGAATGGCCCCCAAGGTTTCTAGTCACAGGCCATATTAGCTGGGACGCGCGAGCAACAAACAGGCAGTACACACCATGCAGTTTAGCTGGCAGGGCAAGTGTCTTTGGCAGAGTTCAGTTTTGGGGACGCACCCCCCGCTAGCGTATACCTTTCCTACTTTCTCCCGCCCGTGTCATAGCATGCGTACCGCGCGCGGGAGTTCATCTACATATATGAACAGCACATATAATGCTGACTCTTCCCGTCAAATTTTGAATCTGCATTATGTCACTACTCGCGCAGTCTATTTCCTATGACCAGGGACTGGGGCTTTGATATAAATAGAAGCGAGCGCGAGACATCACCACCTACATCTAGGCAAAAGCAGTGTGTCGCTGTTGGCCAACCCCTCGCTGTTTTCGGCCGTGCATTGGAAGGAGCCCGTCAGGTTGGTCCTGAGTCCAGCCCGCGCCAGGCGCCTTGACTGCTCGTTGTCCCTCGAGGGTCGCTGGAAGTCCACCGTGGTGCCGTTCAGCTTCCAGGTGAACCGAGTGACGCGAGGATTAGCCCAGGCTTCGCACCGTAGGTGCACAGCGTACGGGTTCAACTTGCTGCCGCACGAGGAAAGAACCCGCAGGGTCACGTCCGGTTTATCTGCACGAGAAGAGGCGACATTCTCTAGATAATATGCATTTTCTGTCGCAAGTCTTTGACGTAAGACGTCCTTTTGCTAGTTGCTCCGGATTTCGGAAAGTCGTATATTTTGAAGCTGCTGCCTGCTACGTCAAATGACATGACGTCACGTGACCTATACACCCATTTCAGTTTCCCCGTTAAACTTAAAGGGGTAATCCACGTCAAGTGAGCTGCCCAGCAGCACAGATTTTGGTCATGCGTTGGGCGATGGCTGGCGATGGCCTTTTGTTCAATGGCCAAAGAGCGGCCATTCTTAGGCCAATTCGTCCCGATAGTTGATGGCCAGTGGCCAGTGGCCAATAACGAGAGAAAAACCAGTCATCAACCAATGGCTGGCCACTGTCTGGCCACTGGCCAAAGGACCATTGACAGCCATTGGCCCAAGATCGCCCAAATCTGTGCTGCTAAGGTAAACAACAATTTTATTTCCCCGCTAAGTTTAACGGGGAAATGACATTGGTGTGTAGGTCATGTAGCATCAAGCAATCTGGCGTCCTTTTCCTAACAAAATTTAGTTGAAAGAATGATATCACGTAACCTATGCGGAGATTAAGTTTGCCCGCTAGATTTATCGTGAAAATTGACCACACGTGACCTCAATACAAAATGAGTTTCCCCGCTTAATTTAGCGGAGAAAATAATGCCAAATAATTTCATGTTCCGTAACCTACACACAAAATCAGCTTCCCTGGTAAATTTACAAGACGTTTGACATCAAGTGACATAATATCACGTGACTTGTATATAACTTCAGTTGCCGCGCTTGATTTAGCGGAAAAATTTACGTCCCGTGCCCTATACATAAATTCAGTTTACCCGCTACCGTTCATTTCCCATAATCTGTGGACATACGCCGACCCGAGGGGGGAAGTGAATGGGACAATTAGTCAATGAATCAATGGGGTAAAAAGGAGTGGGAGGATTTAGCGGAATGGAGTCAACGGTGTAGAGAGGGGAGGAGGGTTAAACCCCAAATTCTGTCATTCATGCAAAAACCTATGCCTGTCTTAAATCAGGTGATTAGTATCTCCGCCATTGACACGTAGCGCTTCCTAAAGCTTGTAGTTTTTTGTTCCTGTGCTTTAAGGAACAAACACTTTAGAGTATACACATTAGCGCCCGGCTGCTAAGCGCGGTCATTTATGTGTAGTCCATTGTAGAACTATCGCGTATATGTATTCGAGTAATACACCCGTCCATACTCGCGACCTTCAGAGGGTCATATACGAAATGAATTATTTTCAACTGCAATATATTTCACCTACCATATCGTTTAACCGCAGCGAATAAAAAAGAAAAAAAAAACTGTCGCAAGCTTTAACAAAATTTACAACGTCATCTTGCGTGAATGTCAAGAGGCCGGTTCTAGCACTGACTCTTTTAGACTTGATTCTAATGCGGGGTACCAACTCTGAAACCTGATTGTTAACACTGTTGTAAACTTCGTGAAACTCTGCCACTAATTGATTATCTTTTTGTCTCTTCGGTCAAACGAAAGTGGAAAATAATTCCTTACATAAACTCTTGCAGTTTGCGAATATAATGGAGTGAACTCGAATATATCTGCCTTCTTGCTCTACAATGTGACACAGATTAAAGGCTCAGGCTAGGTTTTTAACCTATTTTTAATTTAATGATTTACCGCGATATTTTTATGCTACAAATTTCAAGCAACAAGTGCCACGCTTCAGGCAAAAGACACAAGTCAAGCAAACACAGCCCATGATAGGCAGTGCCTAAGCACCAAAAAGAAGGGACTTTTAGTGATAAATAATAATGCGTACTCGAAGCTAAGCATTATTATTTGTAAAATCAAAATCTATCAATCGAAATTGATAAAACCATGGATTGTCTGCGGCTGCAGCCTGATTCCTTTGATCGGTGCAACAAGCTTTTCTTTCTTTATTGTAGGCGCAACGAGTCGAGGCGAAAGAGTGCGAAAACAGTTGGACCAAGTGTGGCACAAGAGAGCCTGCGTGAACAGGCGACCGTCGGCGCGCACACCTGAATCCCGAATGCCAAAGCGTAGCTTCCCCCGTGACGCCACAACGGCTCGGGGCAGATTAAAACGCGTCAACAAATAGCGGAGCGGGCGTAGGATGTCACGAGTAGCACAGCGACAAATAAATAGATTGGCAGACACAAAGACCACCCTCCATCGCCTTTGATTCTGATTCTAAAAAGGTTTTTCCCAATCCAAGATATTAAGGACTCAAGCTGCACATCGGAAGAAGCAGAGATTAAATACTTTGCTAGGAGAATACATTCTACTTTGTTGATGTGCTTCATACAGCCCCAAACCCAAATCCTCTCTGAGTGATTTGAAAACCCCCATCTGAGGGAACGAATGCGCCTCATTCTGTTGACACTGTCGCGCATTCGCTCTGCGCCGAGGAAAAGGGCTCCCGCCGACTCACTAAAATATCGGTATTTCCCATGCAGCAGAGACGACTGTTTTCCACGGTCTCGACGGGCTAACATGCGATAAACAGTGGCAACGGGTATTGGGGAGAACACACGAGTCTGTGTGATTAAAGCTCTCACATCTACGCAAAATCTATTGTGGCCAAGGCAATTACATTTTATAATACTAGGGTGACCACCATGTTCATATATTTTAAGAATCCGCTTTAACTTCTCACTTAATCAAACTCCTTACATTTTTACAAACAAAGCTTCTTAATAGATCTGAAATTGTTTTGATCATTTTGATAACCGCCGTGCGAAGATGGCTTGCCATTTTTGCAATTCGTCCAAAACAACCAAAAGCTCCGCGTTTAAGCGCCACTAATTGTAACGCACGCATAATGCACGTACAAGTTATTCTGTGCTCCCTATGTTTATAAAAAAATTATCAATACAAGTTCATTCGTTTTATTGTCATGGTAGTTTTGTGTGGGATGGCTACTTCCAGATGAATAATGCATGTGAGCTGGTATTCCTCCGCCCGATTATTAGTAATTTTAGTATTTTGAAAGCAGTTTTGGAAATTAGAAAAAAAAACTAATAATCTTTACAAGGACGGAAGAAAATGTTATGCATTTTAATGTCAAATGTGTAGTCACACAGATGTTTCATTCTTCGTTTTCTCAAAAAAACAAGCGGTTTATTTTGACGATACCCGCTCGTCACTGAGACGGGTAGCTTCCTTCCGAATCTCGTTCATCTCCAGTCTACCTCCTCTTCTTCTACGTGTCCACACACAGCCTATCTCGGTGACGTCACACGCCGATGATACCACATCACGCGGACCGGTTGCGGAATGCGTTCGCGGTTCTCGCGCACACGTGCCGACGGCTCCCGTCGTTGACAGCACGGCCATCCTCCATCCCAGTCGCCCCGGCTCTGTCTTCTCGTCACTGGAACTTGGAATGTTTCGGCGAAGTGATCATCCTACTCACGCTAGCTCTTGCTGACGTTCTACCTCTGCTACATCTGTGTCGCTCTCCGCTTCCGTTGACAGGCCGTCGTCGCTGCTCTCGGTGCTACTCTCAGCGCTGACCGTGAAGCGCTTCATCTGGTCAGCAGCGGCAACACCTTCGTAGAAACGTTGCGACCGTTGGGTCTCCGGTAGATCTTTCACTTTATACCTATCGGGAGGTACCTTTTCTACAACGATATACGGGCCTCGCTATTTAGGGCGAAGCTTTCGAAACTCGTCCGTTGCCCCTGGTTTTCTTCCGGATGGAACCTTGCGATATAAACACTCCCGGCAGTACGCAATATGTCGCTTGACGTAACGAGGCATTCTCGGAAACCAATACCTCTTGGTGAGTAGTGCCATGGTCTTCTCAACAGCAAAGTGACCGACGTCATCGTGGCATCGTCGTACTACTTGTCAACGTGCTCCTCGTGGCACAACCCACATCAGACGCTCTTCTCCGTTGTCATGGACCCTCTTGAGAATCTTGCCCTCTGCTAGCACGTACTGGTTCTTGACACGCTGCGACTCTTTAGTTATTGAAGATCCCTGTAAGCAGTCTTTGATTCCTTGTAACGTTGGATCGTTTTTTTTTGGCCAACACTAACCAGTCGTCGTCAGTGAGCTCTGTAGCGAAAACGCTGACGCGCGTGGCGACATCAATTTCTTCGGGTCCCGATGCAGGAGCCCTACTAAGCGCGTTTACGTGGTTCATCTTTGTTGCCTTCGCGCACCCCAATTCTGATAGGGATGTAGCGAAGCAGTCGCGGTAGTCATTAATCGGGGTGACGAGTGCTTTCTTTTGCGAAACAGATATAGATGGACTGACATCTACGTCCTCTGCTGCAATCAAGGTTGTCGGCGTTCTTTCGTTGTAGTTTACGTACGCGTCGAGGTTGGCGTTAGCGTCTTCTTCCGTGCACCATGTTCCTCTAGCGATCTGTTCGTTTTCAGCGACGATCAGCGGCGTAGCCGAATGTTAGTTACGGGGATATACAGTTCTCTCAGTTCGTCTTTTCTCAAAACACAGGTTGGGACGTAATGCCAACGCAATTAGTGGATACTGCCATCAATAAAGATGTCTCCGTGGGTTTTCTGAGTCGCTTCTCCGGAGCGGAGCGCGATAATCCCGACGTAGCTTTGAGGGATTACGACTGCTTCTTTGACCCAGAGGCTTACGCGTCGTGGAGGCAGGAACGGTATCTTAAGATTGGCCAAAGTCCCGTCCTCATCATCAGAAGTGTCACGCTCTTCGAAAATGCGTAGTGTGTTCTTGCGACGTACCACCGTAACATGCGGTTGTTCAGTAAAAGGCTGTCCGGCAAGCAGAGGAACAACCAGCACTGCATCTCGCACCACGTACACCTTGACATTGGCCTTGGCTTGGTCGACCGTCAATGTTGCTTGGAAACTGCCTAAAGGCGTCGTTTTTCCCGAGCCAAACCCGTTTATTGTGAATGGATGATTCCACGGTTCGTAGGTGACGTTCATCAGCTGTGCTTCGCTTTCTCGTAACGTTACGCACTGGCTTCCCATG